GCAGGAGGGGAAGGCCCTCTATGAGGTGGATTGATTCAGTGACTGGGGTAATTGGGATGGGTGTATCAGAGATGGTGTGATTGGCACAGGACAGAGCAGAGTTTAGGGCTGTTGTACAAAGGGTTGCTATGAGTCACAAGTGACTTGATGGCTCATAACAACAACAACAATAACAACAACAACAACATATTCCACCCTTATTTCCTTTACAACTATTTCGTTAGATCATAAGGCATCACTATATAGCTTCCACATTATATCATTACATACATAAATTTTTTATATGCTTTCAATCCATGACACTGGTCATTTCAGGTTGGATGTGAAACCTAATATGAGAGAATGTTACTATATATAAAGTCCTGTAGTGTACCTGATTCTATTTTAAAATAACACAAAACCAAAAAAAGCTCTCCAGCTTTTTCGTTTGTTTCTGAGGCCTCTGTGGATGATGTTACATTCCACTGAATCAGAGTCAATTATGATGCATGACTATGGACAACAGATCAAAACCCTGCCTCATCCTACATCATCCTTACAATCTCTGCTCTGCTTATTAAGTCTCTTGCCACAGTCATGGTGTCAATTCATCACTTCACTGACCCTCCACCATTTCAAACATTGTGTTCTTTTCCAAGGACGGAGCCCTCTTATTGGTGTCTCCAAGGTATGTGAGATAAAGTCTCATAATCTTTATTTCCAAGGAACATTCTTCCTACACTTCTTCAAAGGAAGATCTGTTTGTTCTTTTAGCAGTTCATGATATATTCATTACTGAATCACAATTAAAAGAACAATTGTTCTTCAATCTTCCTTATTCACTATCCAATTTTCCTATGCATATGAAGCCACTGAAAACACTGTGGCTTGGGTCAGGCATATCTTAGTCTTTAAACTGATATCCTTGCTCTTAAACACAAATCACTTTTTTTCATTCCTCCTTATTTACCATCAATCTTTCCTATTCATATGAAGCAACTGAAAACACTGTGGCTTAGGTCTGGCATACCTTAATCTTTAAACTGATATCCTTGCTCTTAAGCACTTTAAAGAGGTCTCTGACAGACGATTTGCAAAATGAAATTACAAAGTTATAAACATCATTTTTAAAATGAAGAGTAAATCAAATCTCAAACAGAAGTTAAAGTTTGTAATTTTTTTTTTCATCCAGCAGATTTTTATAAATGCTGTGTACATGACATCATTCTATGCACTGGGGATACAAAGTTGGAACTAAAGTGCATCTTTACCCACATACCAAGCTTACAGAATGGTAAATTAACTTTCACAGAGTCAAAATTCACACAGCTGTACAGTGAATATATAGCTGTATCTCTTATCCACCCAATGGATAATGTGAATCTGGAGCTCGAGATCTGAAGCTAGAAAGGAGAAATATGGGAATGATTAAATAAAGGATTTCAAACCATATGATAGGATAAAAGACCCTGGGAAGAAAATTCTAAATGGAAACACAGCTAAAGCTCAGAGTTGAACTATGGAGCTCTCTAATATTTAGAGATAGAATAAAAAAGGAGGAGCAATGTTTAAACTATGAAAAGGTAGCTGGAAGAATCAGAAGAAAAACTAGAAAACAGGACACTTCAGAAGCCAAGAGTCATCGTCCATGCTGCTGATCTTTTCTTCTCCCGTAGTTCTAAGCTATTAGTCCATCACAAAGCCAGGGCCACTGCTCTAGGGAAAGAAGGAACAGCCAGATACTCAATTTCTTCATTAACAACTTTAGAAAAGGCCTTCAGGATTCCCAGGTTAATCTTGGCTACTCTATTCCTAATGAGCCTCCCTGGAGTTCTCGGAGGTGGGGAGGATAATCATTCCAGTCCCCTATGGCTTCACTTGCATCCAATCCCAGCTCTGAATCACTGGTGACATCTCTGTGATGTTCTCTTTGACACAAGACTGTTAGCACAGTTCTCTTCCTTGAAAAAACATCAGGGATTCCAATTTAAAGATGTGTTAGCTTCAAAATAATAGATTTTTGTGGTAAACAACATTTATTTGGGGATAAGAGAAATTCAAATTTCTAATTTTTCTTATGAAAAATGGCTCCAAATGAGTTTTGTACCCACCTTTCACTTTCATTGTTGCCCAGAAATGTTCCAAACTGTGAAGCATAAGCATGTTCAAACAGCATGATGAGAAAATGCTCATTAAACTCAAAAGAACAAGGGAACTGACGAAGTATCTGCCACACACAGTCCAAGAAGAGAAGAAACACAGGTGACTCCCACTTCTGCTTACTGTTACAATAGGCTGACTGGGCACAGCGCTGCTGAAAAGGGTGACCAGCCTAAGAAAAAAGATCAAACCGCGATAATCACAGCCCAGAAAAGTATGACACTGAGATCACATTACAGTAAATGTCTGCACAGTTACAATCAATCTCGTAATAATATGAACTTCATATTTATATTACCAAGTTTTTAACTGAAAATTAATTAAGCAGCTAAGGAAAAGAAACTCCACAATTTCCAAATACTTAATATGATTGCCTAGATGTGGGGGATGTGAGTATAGATGCTATAATTATTCTATGCAGATTATCAAATGAAGGAACAAATGTACTTCAGAAATGAGAGACTTTGTAAGTTGCTAAATAAAAGATGTACTTATTTTAAAAATAAAACCTTACAGGGCAATAAGGTTTGGAAATATGTTAAAGAGCCTAAGATCATCAGGTAAAAAACAAAGGATAACTTTTGTCTTACATAGTATTGAACACTAATACAAAAATATTTAATTACATGAAAAAAATAATTCATTCTCATGGAGATATCTAAGTAACTAGTTTTATTTTAGAGACAAAGTGTGCTTCGTTTCTCTCTTCTCTCAAAAAGAACTAAAAGAGCCTACCATCTATTGATCAACCATCTATTGATCAAAGTAAATGTTAAGAATAATTGGTAAAAAAAAAAGAATAATTGGTCAGCTCTTTTCCATAGCAACTGAGTATTGATCTAACCACAAAAGAGACCCTTTATTTGCTTTTTACAGCCCTGTGTTGCCTTTATCTGAAAATTTCCCAGTGGCTAAGGGATTTTGGCATCCATTTAAATGCCAAATCTATATAAATAAATTATACTTATTTTCTTATTTATCATACATCTAGAGGAATTTTCACCAAATAACACAAGTATTTCTAGTATGAAAAAAAAAATAAAAAAAGAAAGAAAGATAAATGGCGAGCTCTGGTGGCCTAATGGCAAGAAGCTGCACCGCAATCCCAGAGGTGCGTGGTTCGAATCCACCGGATGCTCTGCTGGAGAAGGAGGGACAATCTCCTCCTGTACCAGTCAGATCTGATTTGATGGTACACAAACAAACAAAAATAATAAAATAAATTTTAAAAAAAAGAAATAAAGATCAGTTGTCAAGAAGGGTGAGACATGAGACATGCTTCAGTTGTTGTCCAGCTGATTTCATTCACAGTGAGGCCATGCGTTACAGAGTAAAACGACTCCACAGGGTTTTCTTGTTTGTCGTCATAGCTGAAGCAGACTAGACTGCCAGGACTTAGTTCCATGGCACCACTGGGTACGTATGACCTGCCAACTTTTAGGTTATCAGTCAGGTACAAGCAACTTGTACCAATTTGGGATATGAGAACAGTAGCATAATGCATTTGAACATAAAATATAAGGTCCAGAAAGGACTTTTCTCCAGAGATTCACTCACTTTTAAGATATACCAACCATTTCTTTTCAGTCCCAATTGTTTGCTAAGTTATACTGTAAATGTTCATTTAGAAGTGAATCTCAGATTTGGAGGACTTTACTAAGCACTAAGTGGACATAAAGCAGCAGCCACCGTGTTGTATCCTAGGGAAAACAGATGAATGAACCATGGCTCTCTGATCTCAAATAATTCACTTTTCCAGATTTAGTTCAGGAAACAGGGCAGAAAGAAAATGGATCAATTTTATTTGTGGAAGACATTAAAGCATCAAAGACTTCATAAAAGCAGCATCATTTAACTGTATCTTAAAAGAATGTTTAACAGATAAAAGGAAAGATTTTATCACTTTAGGGAAAAGGGTAGGATGGACACAGCATAAGCGAAAGGTAGAGAGTGGTAATTAGGGTGCACACCTAATAAGTTACAAATCCCTTACCTCACTGTAGCCCATAGGTTTATATCTTATATCTCTTTCAAGACTAAGTTTCAACAAAACAAGTATATTTTATATGTCTTTGTGTTTCCCCTCTTTGTAATGAAGTGCACCTTAAAGTTGAGTATATAGATGAAGTGTCAAACGAGCGGTACAGGTACAAAGAGATGGTAAAGATGACAAGTAGTTACTGAAAGGAAAATAGACTAATTCTCACTAAGAAATCACATACACACCTGTAGAAAGTCAATATTTACCATATTATGTAAATACTACCACAAGACAGCAATTAAGCAGTTCCTCTGAGAACCAAATGACTTTCTCACCTGCAGCCACTCTCTCTCTATCAAGGCCTCAAAACCACGGATTGTCCTACTTCTTGGTTCCAAGATGATCTGGGCTAGGGAAGTAACCTGAAGTGTAGAATCAGTTCCTTCTGTTCCATGAATCAGTACTGATGCTCCTTCCCTGGTAGGAAAATCCAGAGTACAACTGGGTTATTTCTGACATGGTATAAGAACTTGGGTAATAGTAAGTATCAATAGAGCACGTTTTCAGGGTCTTAGGTATTCTGTTCTGTCCTAGGTCTACCATCTAAGTCAGGCATATGATAGAAGAAAGATTCTGAAACTATAGCAAGTACCACATTTTACATGGTAAGAACCCTTTTAAACTATAAGAATTTTTATACCATTTTTAATTTGCATTTTCTCTCCCTTTACAAAACAAAAAAGTAGATCATATCCTTGTAGGTATTTACTACTTTAGCATTAGTAAGACCTTTCCTCATCAAATCTAGAAACATATATTTAAAAAATTTTTTTCTGTATTTCTGTGACCTGGGTTCTACTTTTCCATTATCAGCTAATTTTAAGGACATCTTCATAACTGTAATGAATCTAGGAAGTAAGTTCTGAATTACACTATGAAAAACAGAAAAGGCAAAAACATAAAAATGTTAATCTAGAAAATGATAATGATACCACTATCCTATGATATCTACAATGGTACCCTGTGATTCTGAAGGGAATGAGAGAAAATTCTAAGTAGCCAATCTTCTCTATTATTAAAAAGAACATTAAAGAAAATCTTGGAAAAAAGAAAAATAAGCTCAGTCCTTAACATAAAAATGATGATCAATTCTTTGCCCATGTACCTTTATATCTATATAATGATAGTGGAAGGTAATCTCTATCACTCCTATTGGTATTTTAAACATTTTCTCATTTACTTTGTCATTTTAGAAAGTATTACTTATACATCATTCATAAACTGACTCGGACAGGAAATACACAAAGTAAAATAAGTACACAATCAATGATTCATTAATTGCAAATACCTTTTTAAAAAAACCCCAACAGTCAAAAAAGAAAACCAAGCACAACCATAAACAGGGACCATACACATGGACCTCACCTGATGCACTGCACGGGAATCAGGCAGACTACAAGTGTGCAGAAGTTCATGGAGCTAAACATCAGGAGTCAAAACAAGGCCAGGACCTGATTGTGGTCATCAATTACTTAAGTGATGGTTGTGATCGTCAATTACACAAGTGCAAGTTGAAATTTAAGTTGGAGAAAACAAAAACAAGTCCTCAAGAACCAAAACACAACCTTAAATCTATCTTATATGAATTTAAAAACCATCTCAAGAACAGGTTTGATGCACTGAACACTAATGACCGAAGACTACATGAGCTATGAGATGATATCTAGGATATTATCCGTGAAGAAAGCAAAAGGTCATTAGAAAGACAACAGGAGAAAATACTAAAATGGAAGTCAGAAGAGACTCTGAAACTTGCACTAGGATGAAAAGAGGCCAAAACAAGGGGGGGGGGGGAATTTTGAAATAAAAGAGAGGAACAGAAGATTTCAAAGGGCAGTTTGAGAAGACAAAGCAAAGTATTATAATGAAATATGCAAAGAGGTGGAGTTAGAAAATCAAAAGGGAAGAACACACTCAACATTTCTCAAGTTGAAAGAACTGAAAAATGCAAGCCTCAAATTGCAATACTGAAGGATTCTATGGGCAAAATCTTGAGCAGTGCATGCAGTATTAAAATAAGAGGAAAAGAAAACACAGTCACTGTACCAAAAAGAACTGATTAACAAAGAACCCTTTCAGGAAGTAACATAAGATCAAGAACTAACTGCACTGAAGGCACTGGCAAAAAATGAGCATGAAGAATTGATGGAATACCAATTAACATGTTTCAATACAGACGCATACCTGGACATGCTTACTAGTGTCTGCCAAGAAATGTAAAAGACAGCTAAGTGGTTAACTGGAAGATACCCATATTTTTTCTTATCCCCCTAAAAGGTGATTCAACAGAATGTGGAAATTATTGAACAATATCACTTATATTACATGCAAGTAAAATCTTGCTTACTATTATAAAAATATGGCTAGAAAAGAACGTCAAAAGGAAACTTCCAGAAATTCAAGTTGGATTCAGAAGATGCCATAGCATAGGGATATCAATTTTATCAGATAGACTTTGGCTAAAAGAGAAAATACTAAAAGAATGTCTTTTTGTGTTTTATTAACTATGCAAAGGCATTTGATTGTGTGGATCATAACAAACTATGGTTAACACTGAGAAGAACAGTGGTTCCAGAACATTTGAGTATGCTCATACAAAACTTAGAGCCAGTGCTCGCTTCGGCAGCACATATACTAAAATTGGAACGATACAGAGAAGATTAGCATGGCCCCTGCGCAAGGATGACACGCAAATTCGTGAAGCGTTCCATATTTTTACATTAAAGCTAAAAAAAAAAACAAAAAAACAAAAACAAAAAAAAAAACAAACTTAGAGCCAGACCAAGAAGCTGTTGTTTGAATAGAGCAAGAAAACACTCATGATTTAAAGTCCAGCAGGGTTGTATCCTCCTCTTTGCACATGTATTTAATGTGTATGCTAAGCAAATCATCTGAAAAGCTGGACTCTACGAAAATGACTGTGACATCAAGACAGGAGGATGAAAATGAAAGAAATCTAACTGTAAACTTTTGTTAAAATCACAATTAAAAAAAAGGATAAAAGGATGATTCATCAATAGCCTACTTTAGGTAAATGACTCAACTCTGCTTGCTGAAAGTGAGGATTGAAACACTTGTTACATATCAATGACTATATCTTTCAGTATGGCTTACATCTCAACATCAAGAAGACAAAAAAATCTTCACCTCTGGGTTGATAAGCAACATCATATGACATGGATAAAAGACGGATATTGTAAATTATTTCATCTTAATGAAATCCATAATCAACACTCTTGGCACCAGTAATCAAGATAAGTCTGCTCTCAGAGATGTTTCCAAAATACTGAGAAGCAGTGACACTGGTTTGAAGACTAAGGTATGCTTGACTCAGTCTTTTCAATCACTTGCCATGTTGCTGAAAGCTGAACAGTGAAAAAGGATGGCAGAATAAGAATTGATGCCCTAGAGTTGTGGTGCTGGAGGTGAGTATTAAATTTCCCACAAACTGACACAAAGAACAAAAAGTTCTTTCTCTCTTGGAATCAAGTGTGGCCAGAATGCTTCTTGGAAGCAAACATTGTAAAGCTTTGTCTCACATAGTTTGGACAAGTTTGTCAATAGGTAGACTTGCTACTTACCTGATGTCTATCTGTTTCTCTCTCTCCCTGACTCCCACAGGAGAGGACTAAAAAAAGGTTTCTCAAAGGAAATAGGAAGGAAAGTAAAAAACACATGCACGAAGGGGGAAAAGTCCCATACTCAGTAATAGCGGGCATCCAAACCCCAATCAATCCCAGAGATCCCTATGCAGGGCTAGGCTAAGACCAGCATCAGACACTGGGAGCAGGTAAAAGCAACACCTACCTGAGAGATGTTCTTTCTTTTTGTTTGGGTTCCTCTAACTTTCCAGGGATGCTTCTCCCATTTCCTTCTTTATTTTCTCTTTAACTCTTCCGCATGGTCTATCTCTTTTACCAACCATGCTTCGTTTTCATTACCTTAATAAACTTTTTTCGCTGTTTTACTAAATTAACACTGTGTGTATGTCTGCTCCCTTATTTACAGTCACCTCAACTCACTCCCTCGGGGGAAATTTGATAAGTGGTGAAGAGTTAAAAAGAATTCTAAATTTAGCATGTTTCAGTGTTGTTAGGGACTATTCCTTGGAAAGAAACATCATGCTTGGGAATGTGGATGGATGGTCAGTGAAAGGGAGTTGACAAGTGATGGCAGCAATGGGTTTGACAATGTCAGAATGATGAGGATGGTAAAGGATAGGATAGGATTCAAAGTGTTACAATGAGTTTATTAGACTCAATAGCTCAAAACAAAAACAAAGTAATTTAATGTTATAAAAATACATAGGAATTATCAAATGACATTATATTTACAGTATTATAAAACAAAATTCACCTGAATAATTGAATGAAAACTAGTATGATTTAGAAACTTTTCCTCAAACAAAAAAGTAAAGTTTTAAAAAGTATTGTTTTAATACAACCCTCTATTAAGTGATAAACTGTAATTCCCATAGCACTGTAAATATTTAGGTTATTGTCAATTATTTGTTCTACTTTAGATGATATAATTAGCTTTTTGTCTTCTGAATTAGTCAGAGGTTCTTAATTTGAAAATGATGCTCACTCATAATTAGGGTAGCAACCTCCTTCTTAGGATAAAAATCTACTTACTAGGATGAAAGGCGTAAGCAAATATTTTAAGGTTTTTGATTGATTCAGAACATGCATCTTTTAATTATCTGTGGGATATCTTGAATTTAATGCAAGGCCTACTTTTACATCCTGAGTACTTGAATAAATTAATAAATACCAGAAAAGGGAAACCAGAAGAAAACAAATCTGCCAACCCTTACACTCTCAAGAGTTTTAAAATTTCCCATTTTGTTCAAGTCACTAATCTAAACAAAAGCAAAGACAATAAAAACTTCTTTGTAGGCCTAGGGTTGCTTTGATCTGCATCATCTGATTATTATGTATGAAAATTTAAACAATAATAAAGTAGTGAATGTCTACTACAATTTGTGTTTTACAGAAAACAGAAACCTCTTTACTGGACATGCAAAGGGTAACTGAGTACTTGAGTTAAAAAAAAAAAGAAAGAAATGAAATCATGTTAATAGCTCACTAGCTGGTATCCTTGATTCTTCTTTTGCTCTTTAATTACTGTACTGTATTACCTTAGCAAGCACCACCTTGAAACAAAGAACACTGAAAACCTGGTAATCCTGATACGATGGTGTATTTGTTCTTGGCTGTACTTACCACATGATGTTAAGCAACCTACTCTATTAACAACTTCTTTCTAACCATAATAAATCACATATGTATCTTCCTAATTTGGAAGCATCAATAAACAAATTAGTCTTAAAGAAAAGTGTCATCCAACTGTGTGGTGGTAATACTCACATACCTATTGTTTCAGTGAGAATACCCTTCTTAAAAAGAGCATTAAAAAGGCTTCTGTAATAATTTCTATGAATCCTATTACTTCATATATCTCACATCACTATCATTAGGTTTTTCTCAACCTGAGATCCATATATAAGCACATATACCAAATAGTTTGTAGTAAGATACCAGATTAGAAAAAAATCATTTTACTGTATTTGAAAAATAAGGAGGCAAGTTTGGTACTCTAAGAAATTGAAAGGAAAAAAAAACCCCAAACAAACCACTTTTCTTGTTTTTTAAAGTTTAAGAATTTTATAGGAAAAACAAGTCTTTTAGTATTTAAAAATTTATGTTACAGATGACACAGCTCATATGCATTCCACAAACATCAATTATTTATTAAATGCCACAGTCTATGCACATACCTCATCTGTAACTGCATGATGTTAAAAACTAGTTATCTTATAAATAATAATTTATTAAATTATCTGAATATGCAGACTAGACCCTTAACATAACATGGAAGCATATGCCTAGATAAAACCAAAGTTTAATTATCAACACACAAAACATGCAGGGACATGGAAACGTATTTTACCTGTCAATACACTGAGCTGCCAAACAAGCAGTTGTCAGAATCTCCTTGATGTGAGTCAGCCAGTTTGAGGCCTCCAACTTACTGAGCCATCTGTCCATGTTATGTGTTTGGTCATTGCAAGCTTCCACAAGTTTGACTAAGCTATCCTGAAGAATGTGATACCTTTCAAAAACAAAAAAAAAAGAAATTAGAAGAGGTTGTGGCACTAGAGACATTATCAGCATGGATCATGACAGAAAGCAAAGAGTACCAGAGGAATGTCTGTGTTTCATTGACTATGCAAAGGCATTTGACTGTGTGGATCACAACTAACTGCGGCTAACTTTGAGGAGAATGGGAATCCCAGAACACTTGAGCAGGGAAACACCACATAGTTCAAAATGATAAAGGGAGTGCGTCAAGAGATGCATCCTGTCTCCATACCTTTTCAATCTATATGCAGAACAGATCCATTTGGGAGGCTTGGCATTATGAGGGGGCAAGGTGGCACTAGGATTGGAGGGAGACTCATCAACAACCTACGTATGCAGATGACACAACTCTGCTTGCTGAAACTGAGGAGGACCTGAAGCACTTACTGCAGAAGGTGAAGGACTGTAGTCTTCAATATGGATTGAAGCTCAACATCAAGAAAACAAAGATTCTCACCACTGATCTATCTAATTGGCAGCACCAGGATAGATGTGAAGACTGTCATTAACAATTATAGCTTGCTTGGCTTCACAGTCAACACTCTTGGCACCAGCAGTCAGAAAATTAAAAGATGAACTGCCACCATCACAAGAATGTGGAAACAGCCCAAATGTCCAACCATAATTAAATGGATTGAAAAATTATGGTACATTCACATGATGTAATACTATGCAGCACGCAGGAGCAATGATTTTGTAAATCACTCCCTAACTTGGGAGGGACTGGAAAGCATTATGCTAAGTGAACTAAGTCCCATAATGGCAAATACTATATAAGACCATTATTATAGAACATGTATGAGGCTCTAAGGCAGGAAGGGGAGAAGAAGGGTGAAGATGGGGAGAGGAACTTAAGCATCGGGTCACACAATTTGATGGGTGGAGGGAGGAGTGGGTAAAGGGAATGGGAAATATCTAGTGAGAAAAACAATGTATGCAAACTTTGTACGTAAACCAATATAAAACAAAATTTTATGGCGGGGCGGTGGGGGTAAGATGAACTGCTCTGAGGAAATCTGCTGTCAGGGGCCTCTCCAGCATACTGAGAAGTAAAAATGTCTGTCTAGAGACTAAGATGCCTGATCCAAGCCATGGTCTTTGCAATTACTTGCAATGATGCATCAAAGAGCTGGACAAGGACTAAGAATGACAGAGGAAGAATCGATGCCTATGAGTTGTGGTGCTGAAGAAGAGTCTCAAACATAACCATGCACTGCCAAGAAAACAAATAAGTCTATCTTGGAGAGGGTGAAACCAAGTTTCTCCTTGGAGGCTAGGATTTTGAAACTTTGTCTAACATACTTTGGGCACATGGCCAGGAGTGACCAGTCCTTGGAGAAGAACATCGTACTTGGAAAGGTGGAGGGACAGCACGAGAGAGAACGACCCCAGATGAGATGGATTGACACAGTAACTGGGGCAATGAGGGAGTAGGTGTGTTGGAGTCAGTGAGACTGGCTCACGATAGGGCAGGCTTCAGAGCTATTGTACATAGGGTTGCTATCTGTTGCAGGAAACTTGACAGCACATAACAATAACAGCAACAAATAATAATAAAAAGAGAGAAGGGAAGTAGAATGATAAGATGTCCAGGGGTGATTGGGGGGGGGGGGTCCTAAAGGAGGAAGGACTTCAACTTTCAATAAAACCTAGAGCAAATGTTTTTTTTAAATCAACCTGCAGCTCAAATTTGTTTTGTTTTGTTTTTTGGGTTTTTTTCTCTCTCTCTTTTTTTTTTAAATAATTTTAATGAGCATTTACAGAGATTTTGGATTTCCATTCATTCATTGCTGCACTTCTATCCCCGCCCAGCTCTCCCCTCACTCCGCTCCTCTCTTTCAAAAGTAAAAGAAACACTCCCTCCCTGGGACACAATCCCCCCACACCCCTCCTGCTGCCCCAAGTACATTCCACTATACAACCTTAATTGTGGACTCTTGTGATAACCATAATACCCTATCATACATTGCTTTTAAATTATTCAAATGGCTTTTAAAAATCTACCTTGCTTGAAATCAAGTTACTTGAAGGTTGACAAACTAGTATTTAGTTTTAAAAATAATTGCAATTAAAATGCTTGTCATGATAAACTACTATTTCATATTTGAATAAATTAAAGGCATTCACACAGCTAAATTATTTGACAGGAGGAGAGTGTGGAAGCCCTACACTTATGAAAGGTCACATGTATCACCACCTATACTTGCCATCCTACCTCGCTGATCTAATACTAGACACTGTGGAACCATAGCAGTGATACCCAAGGCTGTGATCCCACTCAGGTTTTGCTTTTTTAAAATTACTGTTATTTCATTTTAATGGACATTTACAGAGACTTTGGATTTCCATTCATTCATTGTTGCACTTTTCTCCCTGCCCATTCCTCCCCCTCAGTTCATTTTTCTCTTTAAAAAGTAAAAAAAAAAAAAAATTGTAAAAAAAAAATTCTTTCATTGTTATACAATCCCTCTCTCCAAGTCCACTCCACTATGCAGCCTTCGTTCTGGACTCCTGTCATAACAATAATACCTTATCATATATCCCTTTTAAACAGTTCTCTCCCTAAACTCCAACTCTTACCAATCTAGTAGTACATATAAATTGCTAACGTACAAGCAAAAGAGACAGTACAAGTGGAGAAAACAAAGTGTGAGAACAGGTGTGTACAAAAGATTAAATCCCTAATGTCTAAGAAAAACAAAGTACATGTAACATATCTATCTCCAAGGTCTACAGATCAGAGTAGCAGATCTTGCAGGGAGGTTTCAGAACCGACGTAGAGAAATAATGGTATTTGACTAATACTTACCAAGGTAAGTCTTCTGCTTAAGTTATAAAAAAAAATGCAATGAAAGAATATTCAGTCAATTTTTAACTTTAATGTGTAGATTTATTTAGACATTTGTTGTTTTTGAACTGCCAATATCTCAACATCAAGAAAACAAAATCCTCCCCAATAGACCAATAGGAAATATCATGGTAAATGGCAATAAGACTGAAGGTGTCAATGATTTCTCTTTACTTGGTTGGTACCAGTAGTAAAAAACCCAAATGATGTATTACAAGGGGAAACTGCTGTCAAGGACCTATTCAAAGTACTAAATAACAAGGACGTCAGTGTAAAGATTAACATGCACCTGATCCAAGTCATAGTCTTTTCAATTACTTGCTAGGCTGCTGAAAGTTGGGCAATGAATAAGGATGAAAGAAGAAGAATCAATTCCTTTGAATGTAGTACTGGAGAAAAGTACTGAATACCCCATGGGCTGCCTAAAGAACAAACATATGTCTTAGAAAAAGTACATCTAGAGTACTTCGTAAGAGGCAAAGGTGGTAAAACTTCATCTCACATACTCTGGACATGTTGTAAGAAGAGACCAGTCCTTGGAAAAAGATATCATGCTTGAAAGGTCGAGGGTCAGCAAAGGAGAGAAAGATCCTCAACAAGATGGACTGACACTGTGATTACTATCAATAGGCTCAAGTATATCAGAGAAGATGAGGAAGATATATGATCAGGCAAGGTTTAGATCTGTTTGATATTCACAGGGTTACTATGAGTCATAGTTGACTTAATGGCATCTAACAACAACAGCCACCAGAATCTATTAGGAGTCCCTGGGTGGCACAAGTGGTAAAATGTTGGACTACTGATGATTCAACCAACCCAGAGGCACTGCAAATGTAAGCCTGGCAATCCGCTTCTAAAAGGTCAGGTGTTTTGAAAACCCTATGGAGTGGCAGCTGTCCATTGCACATATGGGGCTACCATGAATCAGAATCAACTCCAAGGCAACAAATAACTTTAACAAGGGCTTACTCACTCTAACTGGTTTCAAACTGGCTCAGTGGGTAAGGACTTGCATTGCCAATCCAAAGGTAGGTGGTTTGAATCCACTAGGCACTCCATGGACAGTGTGATTTACAGCCTCTGAAAATCCACTGGAGAGTCAGCTATGAGTTGCAATCCATAGCACTAGCAATAACTTTCTCCAGAATCTTTTACCTCTCAATGGACTTATGAATTCGCCTCCACTGAGGATAATGAGCTTCTTGTTCAAAGCCCCCTCCTTTGGCTCTCGCTTGCTGGGCCACATTCAGTGATCGGGTGTCAATGATGTAGCCCCGTTTTCCAGCTCTTAAGGTAGCATTTATCAGTTTCTCGTCTTCCTTGCATCTCCTCCCATTTGTGCCAGTAAGTGGTTGGCCACTTCGCATAATTACCTAGAAGCATAATATAAAGTTCTTAGCAGCTCCTTTTAAAGGTTCTAAAACCAGAAATTCATTAGCTTGACCAAAAGTATCTCAAAAACAATTCTGTGATATTTTGGAGATGGATTTGATGCTAAAAAGAAGTATTTCCTTGTATTGGTAATACTTAATAAAATTTTAAAAAATAGTAAAATAAAAATAAATTTTGCTGTTTCACAAAATTCTTCTTCCAACAACCTAAAAATATTTTTATATATTAAATATCAAATAATGTAATTCATTCAGTCACTGAAGTGAATACCCCAACAGACTACACCCTTAATGAAGAAAATAATATGCTAGCAGGCAAGTAAACCTTTACTGCAAGTACTTATATCTAGCATTTAGCAGGAATATAAAAAGAAAAGGCACCGATGGTGAAGTAGAAACTCTATATTCTTCTTATAGGAAATATTTTCATTATCCCAATAGTTAAGCCCTATTAACAAGGGCTTGTCTATTATTCATTTTACTATGGCCTCCTTTCACACTTCAATATTCTAGAAGTCAACTATTTTTCTCTGAAGATTACCAGCTGCAGTATTTTGAAAAGTTAGCTTTGATACTTCTCAAGAAATCAACATAATCATCTACCACAATGATTTCTTCTATAGCGAATATTCAAGGTAACACAAAGAGACTACATCATGTATAACATCAGCTAATTTACTTTCTAATGTGATCCAGAAAAGTCATCAGGTCCTCAGAGGATAATTACTTTGAACCAACATCTTTCAAATAGTGTTACCATTTTTTTTGCATTTTTAAAAATTTTATTAATTTTAATGAACATTTACAGAGATTTTGGATTTCTATTCATTCACTGTTGCACTTTTCTCCCTGCCCACCCCTCTCCACCACTATGCTCTTCTCTTTTGAAAAGTAAATGAAAAATTCCTTCATTGGTATACAATTCCCCCGCCCCAAGTACACTCTACTATGCAACCTTCATTCTGGACTCTCGTGATAACCAAAGGAGAAAATTTATTTAACTTCAGTTGCTAAAATACTTTATAATAAATCCTACTAAAGAACAAAACTAACAAACAAGACAGGCTGTAATGCCAGCATAACAGATTTTTTTTAAAAAATTATATATTTTAAATATTGATCCATTTTCTTTATAACCAGGGCTAAATGGAAAATGGAAGATGACCATAATTCATCCACTAATTTATTATTTGTTTCAAAACTAGAATCTGAATTTGCTGATTAGGAGAAAATTAATAAAAGAGAAACAAATTTTAGAAAATATTTAGGAAACAAACATTCTGTTCTTCTTTTCTAAGTTATCAAAGACAGCAAAAGTAATAAAACTAACATGTACCGACTAAATTCCTAACTTCCATGTTTAAGTTGTGACTAATAATATGTCATATTCTTCTCTTTTGAAAATAAAAATGTTAAAGCTACTGTTCACCCACCTGGAGATTTGGTGAGATTAAAGATTTAGGGAACTCTGAAGGCATAGTCAATAGGGAATTAGGCTACTAACAAAAAGATAGTGTCTTTCTGGTGATTCAAATCTACCAGCAGCTCTGAGGAAGATGGGCAATCTCTTCCTGTACAATTTATAGTCTCTGAAAACTGCTGGAGGGTCAGCTTGTGTTGGTTCTGACTCAATGGCAATGAGTCAAATGAGAATTACAGTTTTAGGTTCAATTAAATGACATCCCATCAAAATATGTACTATATATCCTAGCATTTAGGCCTGCAGTTATAATCTCTTTTGGGAAAGGGTTATCTTTGTTATATGAATGAGGCAGGATTAGTGTAGCATATGTATTGAGTCAAACTCTTAGCAGAGATTAAACAAGTGAGAGAAGCAGAGATGGGGGAAAGAGAGATGCCAAGCTACACAAAGATCACCCAGAAGCAGAAGCTCAGAGACAAGGACCTTCTTCCAGAACCAAAAAAAGGAAAGCCTTCTTCTAGAACCATCACCCTGAATTCAGCCTTCAAAACTGTGACCAAAAAAAAAAAGGTTTGTTTATTGTGACCTTTCTGTTGTAGCAGCATTGGATAACCAAGACATAAAGTGTTCTTAACATTATTATAGACTAATTACTTATTTTCTACCTTAAGCATAAAATAAACACTAATTATTGTTGTAAGCATCAAATAATACATAAATTTTCTCTGTACCATGCCTCGAAGAGAAGCCATTCTGGACTTTCTTTTTTGTTTCTTGGTTTATTTTTTAAGGATTTGCTCTTAGAAAAAGATTTGGGTCTTGAGATCTTGGGAAATTTGAGGCAAAACCTCTTTTCTTTTTTTTTATTGGTAAAACCTCTCTTGAGCTAGAATAGAATCATGGACCACAAAGTCAGGAATACATTCAGATGGGACAGAGGACATGATTGAGGGTGGACTTTTGGTCTTTATCTCAGAAGCAGGTGGATGGGCAGGGTGGGGCACACTCCATTCTCTCCTGGATCAATTCCTCTCAGTTCACTCTGCCACCGCCGCTGCTGCTATTGTTCATGCTGCCTTCCACTCCTCTGGCCTCCACCAACTGTTCCCCTCTAGCTTGATTTCTTCAAGGTTGCATTCAAGCAGTATTGTGGAAAAAAATTAGAGTCATATTCTGAAAACAAAATACTCTGCCTCTAATTCCCAATTTAAATGAAGGGCATCCAAGCAAGAGAAACCTGACTACTAACTTAAATGAACAGGTGGAGAGAAAGAGGGAACATTACTAAGAAAAGATTTCCAAACCAAGCCTTTCAGTAGATTAAGTAGTAGGGTTATCTACTTACCATGCCATTTTTTTTATGATAATAGCTTAGCACTGGAAAGCGTCCACCATGTCGAAATGTAGCTACCTTCCTTAAAGATTCATCATCAGTAGAATTTGGCACTATTACAATTGGTGGGTAGGAGGGGCAGATAGTAAATTCCTTATTGACATAACTTAGCCTCCATTCGCTGGTCTGAAAAACATAAAACACTTCAAGGTTGAATAAGTATTTCAATATCACAAGACGATCTGAAAAATTTTAGAGGACTTCGGAGATCAATGTGCACAAATGGCAAAGCCATCACTCAAGACATTCTTACCCAAGATAAACTAGCCTAAAAATATTTGGAAAGGAAAAAAGTTCCATTCTTCACGGTCTACTTCCTGCACTGCTGGGTAGACCTAGTTTTTAGAAAATTCTTCCTCATATGCACCAAAATCTCTGTTTAGCTTTCTCATATTGAGCAAAATGTGATTTTTAAATTCTCTATTGGTTTTTACCATGATTCCATAAACCACAGCATAAATCCCTCATTTTGCATCATGTCCTAACAAACAATCAAATAAGTTTTGCTTCTACTTAGTCTTCTATTCTCCAAGTTAAGTAGAATAAATGTATTATAAGGGTTGTTATTAGCATGGCCAGTATCATACCATTCATCCTTTTCTGGGTAATATTTAGTTTGTTAATTGTTATCTTAAAGCATAGGAAGATTGCAATTCTCCAAATAATGCTTCACCAGTAAAGACTAGAGTGACTATCTACATCAAATTGTGTTCCTTTCTATTATTTAAAAGGAGGGGGGAAACCCTAGAGAAATGGTAATGTCTTTCTTAGTACAGAAATTATTTACTACTAAGGAAAGTTACACTTAGAAAGTAAATGAAATAATTCTACTCAGATGATACAACCTTGCTTGCTGAAAATGAGGAGGGCCTGAAGTGTTTACAGTCTAGGAAGGTCTGAAGCTCAACATCAAGAAAACAAAGATTCTCACCACTGGGCCAAATGGCAGCACCATGATACATAGAGAGAAGATTGAGATTGTTAACAATTTCAGCTTGCTAGGCTCCACAATAAATACTCTTGGCACCAGGAGTCAAGAAATCAAAAGGTGAATTGCATTTGGAAAATCTGCTCTCAGGGACATCTCCAGAGTGCTAAAGAACAACGCTATCAGCCTGGAGTAAAAGGTGTGCCTGATTAAGGCCATATTGTTGTTGTTAGGTGCTATAGAGTTCTAGCATGACTCACAGCAACCCTATGAACAATAAATCTGACCTCCATCCTATGCTGTGCCATCTTTACATTGCCTGACACACCAGAGCCCACTGTGGCAGTCACCATGTCAATCCATCTGGTTGAGAGTCTTCCTCTTCTTCGCCAACCCTCCACCCTTCCAAGCATCAAGTCCCTGTTCAAGAAATTGGAAAGACCCCCTGAGTCAGGGCTTCTTAGTCCTCAAAATGACATCACTGAGGCCATTGGCTTTGCAATCACTTGCTATGCATGAGAGAGCTGGACTAAAAGATAACTAATGACTAAGGATGACAGAAGAAGAATTGATGCTTTTGAGTTGTGCTGGAAAAGTGTCGAACATTCCATGGACTGCCAAGAGAGCAAACAGGTTTTTCCTGGAAAGGGTAAAACCACGTTTCTCTTTAGAGGCAAAGATTCTGAAGCTCCATCTCATATACTCTGGCCATGTTGCCAGGAGAGATCAGTTCCAAGAGAAGTATATCATGCTTGAAAGGGCAGAGGGACAGCACAGGAGAGGAAGACCCTAAATGAGATAGGTTGACACAGTAAATGGAGTAATAGGTTAAATGTGTCAAGACAAGTGAGATTGGCTCAAGATAGGGCAGAATTCAGAGCTATTGTGCATAGGACTCCTTTGAGTCATTGGAGACTGGATAGCACATAAAAACTATAGTAGTTCAGTATGATAAGCATTAAATTATACAACACTGAGCTAACTATCAAATGATAACATTACAAACATTAGATACAAAAATTAGACTGTAAAAACCTTTTTTTAAAAATGATCTATATATAAACCTCAATTTTTCCATTAACCAAGGAGTCTGACATATTTGGCTATATATTATAGTACTAGAAAGATAACTGACATATTAGTATGCAGTACCAAAAAACAAGAATATTAAAAAAACTTATATAATACAGTATCAAATTTTATCATTTAAAAGTTTCACTTTTAAAAGTTATTCAAGTTAATAATGAAAATATATTGTTTCTAAACGATTCATTACAAAAGTAGTTCCCTCTTTCTTGCTTAGTCATCTCAATTCCCAGAGACAACCATTATCAACATTTGTTGTTATGCTTCTGCTTTTTGATAGTGTTGTTTAAGTTCTAAATTATGATCATTATATTCTTATTCTTGATTTCTACACTATATTTTCATTAAACGCTTACTCAGGAGAATGACAATGTATGACCCCTTCACTGATGTAGTTGTTAGGTGCCATTGAATCAACTATGACTCACAGTTACCCTATTAACAACAGATCTGCACTCTGCCCTATACTGTGCCATCCTCATGATTTCTAACAAGTTCAAGCCCATTGTTACATTCACTGAAATAATTATGGTAATGGTGAAGAGCAGTGAAAACACCACAAAATGCCAAAAGAACAACCAAATCTGTCTTGGTAAAAGCACAACTAGGGTGCTCCTTAGAGACAAAGGCAGTGAAACTTCACCTCACATACTTCCGGTAAGTTGTTAGGAAAGGCCTGTCCTTGGAAAAACACATCATGCTGGGAAAAGTGGAGGGCCAATGAAAGACAGAATAACTTTCAGTGAGATAGACTGACATAGTAACTGTTACAATGGACTAAACTGAAAGGCAACGTTATTTCTACCTTATTTCCAAATATAACCCTAAACTAAACCCATTAGACTGTGATATATAGCAACCCTACAGAACAGAACTGCCTCACAGGGTTTCCTAGGCTATAAACTTTACAGAGGCATCTTTCTGCTGAAAAGCGGCTGATGTGTTTGAACCACCACTCTTTTGATTAGCAATGAAGTGCTTGGATTAGATTAGCAACCACCATGCCAATAGAATTTCTTTCCAAAGGATGTTGTTGCTGTTTTCAGGTACTACTGTCTTGGCTTCAACTCACAGTGACCCTAAGTACAACGGAAGAAACCTTGCTTAATTGTGAGCCATTCTTACTATCTCTGCTACACTTAAATCCATTTGTTCCAGTCACAGCATCAATTATTGAGGGTCTTTCACTTTTCCAAATATAATGTTCTTTTTCTAGGGACTGGCCCCTTTTGACAACATGTCCAAAATATGTGAGATGAAGTCTCAACATTCTACCTATATATCCATGATAGATTTGTTTGCTTTTCTGGTAGTGCATGTTGTTAATGCCATCGAGTCACAGTGACAACAGCTCTGAAGTCTGCCCTCACCTGAGCCAACCTCATCACCTCAGACAAACCCAATCCCACTTCTCCAGTCATTGAGTCAATCCATCTCTCCCAGGTCTTCCTCTCCTGCACTGTCCCTTCATCCTTCCAAGCATGATGTCCTTCTCCAGGGACTGATTCCTCCTGGCCACATGCCCAAAGTATGTGAGACAGAGCTTTAAAAATCCTTGCCTCCAGGGAGAAGCTTGGTTTCACCCTCTCTACGTCTGACCTGCTTGTTCTGCTGGCAGTTCAACACTCTTCTCCAGCACCACAACTCAAAACCATCGACCCTTCTTCTATCTTAGTTAGTAACTGTCCAGCTCTCTGACACATAGCAAGTAATTGTGAAGACGATGGCCTGTATCAGGTGCACCTTAATCTTCAGAATGACATCATTGCTCTTCAGTACTCTAGAGAGGTCCCTGACTGCAGATTTTCCCAATGCAATTTGTCTTTTGATTTCCTGACTGCTAGGGCCCAGAGTGTTAACTGTAGAACAAACAAGCTGAAGTTATGGTATAGTAGTATACAATACACTTAATATTCTTTGCTAATATTGTAATGAAAAAGTATCAGCTGTTTTTCCGTATTTTCTAATTTGGGTATGTTGTTATTGTTGTTGTTATGTGCTATCAAGTCGTTTGCGACTCATAGCGACCCTATGTACAACAGCCCTAAACCCTGCTCTATCCTGTGCCAATTGCACTGCCTCTGACACACCTATCCTGATTACCCCAGTCACTGAATCAATCCATCTCATAGAGGGTCTTCTCCTCTTGCGCCGACCCTCCACCCTCCCAAGCATGATGTCCCTCTCCAAGGATCTGTCCCTCCTTGCAACATGCCCAAAGTATGTCAGACGAAGCCCCAGAACCCTTGCCTCCAAGGAGTAGCTTGGTTTAACTCTCTCCAGGATGAGTCTGTTTGTTTTCTTGGCAGTCCAGGGTACATTCAATACTCTTCTCCAGCACCACAGCTCAAAGGCATCAATTCTCCTTCTGTCCTCCCTAGTCATTGTCTAACTCTCTGATGAGTAACAAGTAATCGCAAAGACCATGGCCTGTATCAGGCGCACCTTAGTCCCCACAGAGACACCATTGCTCTTGAGTACTTTAGAGAGGTCCCTAACAGCAGACTTTCCCATTGCAATATGTTTTTTTATTTCCTGGCTGCTGGTGCCAAGAGTGTTGACCGTGGAGCCGAGCAAACTGAAGCTGTGAACAATCTCAATCTCTTTGCCGTCCATCCTGATGCTACCAATTGGTCCAGTGGTGAGAATCTTTGTCTTCTTGACATTGAGCCTCAGTCCATACTGAAGGCTGCAGTCCTTGACCCTCTGCAGCAAGTGCATGAGGTCCTCCTCATTTTCAGCAAGCAGAGTTGTATCATCTGCATAACGGAGATTGTTAATAGATCTTCCACCAATCCTGCTGCCACAATTCTCCTCATAGAGTCCAGCCTCTCAGATAATCTGCTCTGCATACAGGCTGAAAAGGTATGGAGATAGGACACAACCCTTGCATACACCCTTCCCAATTTTGAACCATGCAGTGTTACCCTGCTCTGTTCTGATAATTGCCTCTTGGTCTAAGTATAGGTTTCGCATTAGCACGATTAAACGTTCTGTGATTCCCATTCTTCTCAGAGTCAGCCACAATTTATTATGATCCACACAGTCAAACGCCTTTGGATAATCAATGAAACACAGATATACATTCCTCTGGTATTCCCTGCTGTCAGCT